GTATATTGCTTTTAAAGGCAAACTCCAGTGAAGTGATAATAGACCTTAAGTGAATGAAAATGGTTTAAAGGAAAAAATTATACATTTTATTAAAATTTATAGGAAAGATAAACTAGGAAATATACAGATTGTAAAATGTTCCTTGTATTGTTTTAATGAATTATTATACTTTTGTCATTTTTGCATGTTTATACTTTGTTTCCACAGGAACAATATCTTACCTTTTGGTGCCACGTCCATTGCCTACAACAGTGCTAGTAAATTGCTGATGTGTAAATTGTCTTTAAATGTGGTGTTTTCAGTATAATCTTATTTCTAGGAATATATTGTACTTAGTTCAGAATTACATGTATTCCTCATGTAAACCTATTAGGTGATTGCTTCAATTATAGCTGTATTACTTATCCATTGTAATTACAAAAGCATTACTGCTTTCTTTTAGGAATGTTTTCTCTTCCAGTGATATCTATGTATATATGTATGTAATTCCTTTATTCAGCAGGGAATTCCTCTTGGTCTCTGCTGCTATTTATTGGTGCTACCTTTGGATTTACCAATGTGTAAATATCAATAAACCATGCTCATTACTTTCATAGGTATATTCCAAATTTTACTTGGTTTCCATCTTCATACATAACTGTGCTTTCTATTGGCAAATAACACTTCTAACAGTCAGTTGCTGTTTTCTGTGGGGCCAAATTTGTATATAACTAATTTGTTGCAGATACTAATCTTTTCATATGTTTCTTCCCTCCCTCCCTCCCTTCTCTCCATCTGTCTTGCTCAGTGAAGTATGCTAGCTACTACAGGGGATTAAAAAATAAAAGACTTGGTCTTGTCCTCAAGTAGCTTACCATCTATTGAAGAAAAAATATGTGCAATCAAAAGGATTATGAACCACAGTGATGTATGATATGTCACAAGTAAATAATATAAGCTTACACGCTATATCCAAAGATATGGGCTGCAATTATGTGGTTGGTTGATCGAGTCTGGGGGATAGTTTGATATAATGGGACAAGACAATGAAACAGAAGACCATCATCACCTCCCCCACTTGCTAACTATTATAACCTTATGACTTGGGCTTTCTGAAGTTAATTTTTCTCATATGTAAATTGGGAATCATGATGATGATAATACCTTTTCTGTTTACTTCTTCAAGTTATAAATCATAATCAAATAAAATTATATAAAAATGTTCTGAAAACATTAAAGTATGATTATAATCTAAGAGTGTGTTGTTTTTTTCATTACATATCATAGTATTTATGCTGAAACACTAAGAAATGTTGAAAGTTCATTGGGAAGAGAGGAGCAATGCTGGTAGATTATGTATGTCTGTTATTTAATAAGGAGAGGAAACGAATCTAACTCTTCTGTTTGGGGACAATTCATACTATACCTATAGTTATTTAGAAGCTAATAATTGTTATGAATAATGTAAGGATAATTATAGTCACTATTTATTGAGCCTTTACTATGTGCCGGAGACTCTGCTAATAGAGTAATCAACTATCATTGTCCCCATTTCACAGAGGGGAAAACCCTGGGTCAGAGTGACTGTCATGTAGCTAGTAAGTAACAAGAGCAGGATTTGAACCTAGATCTGCCTAACTTTTAAGCCAGTAATTTCCATAATTTGGGAATATCACTCGAAATGCACTGGTAAACTCAGAGCCAAATGAAGTGGTTCAATCTATTAATTAAATTAGCAGAAACGTGTGTTTAAATAATAAATTATTTTAAGCAAAGGTGAAGTGAGGAATGACTTACAGAGCAAACAAAGGCCAGTTCATAGAAGACTTGTGTGCGATGTCTGAGAATTTAAACTTAATTCTGTGGGTCACCAGGAGCCACTGAAGGTTTCAAGGACAGAAATGTAACCATTGCCTGCCTGGCACAGAGTTGGTGTTCCATACATACTTAATGAACAAATGAATAAATGGGATTTCTTTTAGAAAGAATGACCTGATAACAATGTGGAATATGGTTTGGAGGGAAGTAAGACTGAAAATAGGAAAACTACTGTTAAGAGTTTGGGTAAGCCCTGGCCAGTTTTGCTCAGTGGTTAGAGCATCAGCCTGCGGTCCAGAGAGACCTGGGTTCGGTTCCCGCTGGGGGCGCGTGCCTCGGTTGCAGTTTGTCCCCGGCCCTGGTTGGGTTGTGTGGGTGGCAGCCACTCGATGTGTCCCTTTCACGTCAATGTTACTCTCTCTCTCTCTTCCTCTCTCTCTTTCCCACTCTATCTGAGCAAAAAGTGGAAAAATGTCCTCAGCTGAGGATGAAAAAAAAAAAAGAGTTTGGGTAAAGATGGCAGGGCCTGAACTGTTAGCATACAGGAAGCTGGCTGGTACTGGGTTGGAAAGCCAATTATGTATATCTGCATAACTTCAGGTTTAGTGACATCAAGTTGGTAGTTTGAAATCAACCATGGTGGGAGTATTTATTTATTTATTTAATCCTCACCTGAGGATATTTTTCCATTTATTTTCAGATAGAGTGGGAGGGAGGGAGGAACAGAAACAGAAACATTGATTTAAGAGAGACATGTTGACTGGTTGTCTATGGCACCAGCCCGGGAATGAACCACAACCAAGGTGCAAACCCTTGCCTTGCCCAGACTCGAACCCGAGACTCTCAGGTCCTTGGACCAATGCTCTAACTGCTGAGCCAAACCGGCCAGGGTCATAGTATTTAAACCACAGATGTTAGCAAACACTATAAATTAGGTCTTTCTTTTTGGAAAGCTGATTTACCAACATACTATTGGACTGAACAAAAAGTTGCAGGAGAGAGAATATTTACTAGAGGGGTTAATGAGGATCAGCAGTTGGTTGATGGGGGAGGAGTGTCAATGGGAGAGATTATAATTTATCAAGTTATTGGCTTGGATGAGTCAAATGGGATACTGGTACCTCTTAACAAGAGAAGGAGTTCAAGATACGGGAGATAGTGGATTTTGTGTAGGAAAAATTGAAATATCTGTGGGACATGATGGTATAGATGTCCTGAACATTGGTTATATAGATATGGGAGTAAAAGGAGAGGTGTGGGTTCAACATAAAATACGGGAATCAGCATATAACTGATAGTTGAAGCTGTCAGAGTGGATGAATTTTTAAAACAAAGGGACAGAACCCTGGGAAAGGCTGTGGTAAGTCTTCATATTTTATACAGTAAATATAAATGAAACCATGTCTTTTTGTTCCAAGGCTGAGAGAGTAGGTAGAATTATATTTTGTTTGTAAATACTGCATTTGGAATAAAATCACTGCAATGGAAATGAGTTTTAAAGGATATCTGATAAAAACAGTCATATGATAAATCAGATTTATAAAATCTTTAGAGCAGGATTTATCAAAATGACACTTTAAAACAACAAAAAGATCTAATAATCAAAAAAAGATTAACATATCAAACATCTGAAAGAACAAAAACATTCTACAAAACTAGAGAAAACAGATTATTTCCAAAATGTATTTATAAGGAATTCTATACATACTTCTTTCTTGGTACTGTATTGTCATTGCCTGTTTCTTTTCCTCTGTCACTAAATTTTACTGGGAGTGGGGAAATGCTGTGTTTTTCCCCCACTCTATATTTGGGGCCTTGTACATAGTGTTTACTCAGGGAAAAACAAAACAAAACACTTTTCTTTAATAACAGGATGGGAGGTTTGAAAAGAGATGATCTGGAAGGGCCCTTTCAACCCTGAGTATGAAAAGGGAAGTGGTGACAGTTCCTCAACACCTAAAAGAAGTGAGTTTAGTCCTTTGCAGCACCAAACGTCCAATGTTTCCAAGCTACATAAAGTAGACTCTCAGCTCAATATTTCGCAGGTAAGAACCTTCCAACAATTACAGCTATTCAACAGAGGAAAGGCTGTTTCAGGAGATGGATGGAAGAGACCTTAGGTATCTTGAGTTTAGGTCTTCCCGATCTTTCTCATGCCATTGCCCACACAGAAAATCGTCGTACAGCACATCAATCAGTATCTCAAAGTCTACTTCTCCCAAGTTCTCAGGCTTTGGGTGAAAAAACTGGTTTGGTACGAATCCTCATCTGCAGTGGGGGAAAGTGGATTGAAAGGGGATGCGACATTCCTGGATCAAGATGTTAACGCTGAGGCCAGAACTCGCGTCTTCGGACAACTAGCCAGTCTCCCCACAAATGAACCAGGGTGCATGTCAGGCTTGAAGACTAGGTCAGCGTTAGCTGCAGTAGATGGGACGATGGTCTAGGTCAGTGTTGCTTTAAATATGGGCCCGTGATCAGGCCTTAGAACCTGTCAAACTTTGAGAAGCTCGTTAAAAAAGCAGATTCAGTTCTGGCCGGTTTGGCTCAGCGATTGGAGCGTCGGCCTGCGGATCAGAGAATCCCAGGTTCGGTTCCGCTAGGGGCACATACCAAAAAAAAAAAAAAAAAAAGCAGATTCATGGGCACCATACAGACACACGGAATCAGTGCAGTAAGGCCTGGAAATATGCATTTTTAGGTTTGAAAACACACTCCATCCTCTACCCCACTGGGCAATACTTGCGGCTCCAGCTCCTGCTTGAACTCAGCTGCTCTGCTGGACGCTCAACACCGGTCAATCTGACTTAAGTGCAACGTGGGCGGCACAACCGTCCGGTTTTAGCAAAACCGTCTGTTACGTACTAGCCCTTCCGGCCGACACAGGCGGACGCAAACCAGTGCCCGTCCCGGTGAGGCCGCCGCCGTAGGTCCATCACCTTCTGGCCCCGCTGAAAACCGTCGGCGGAGGCGGGGGCCGGGCGCAGAGACGGCTCGCAGCGCCCCTTCGAGGCGACAGCCCTCCGCAGGCGAGCGGGGAGGCGCTTTCCCTTCTCCGCTCCCGAGCTCCTCCTCCTTTCCTGCCGTCCCACCCACCGGCGGAAGCCACTACGGCGCCTGCGCCAATTCTGCCTTACCCCGCCCCCTACCTACTGGCCGGAAGTTTACAGGTTTCCCATAGTGCTTCGCGGGCGGGGTGTATGCTTCCAAGTTCCGGAGGGCTGAACGCGGAGGGTTGTTCACGTTGTGGGGGTGGTTCAGTTGTGCCAGGGAGCTCAAGGAGATTGCGGCCGTCACTGCCTTGTCGGCGGGTGCAATGCCGCTTCTTCGGGGCGTGTGGGGAGTGCTGAGTGCCCTGGGAAAGTCCGGAGCGGATCTCTGCGCCGACTGTGGGAGTCGACTGCGTTCTCCCTTCAGGTAGGACCCCTCGCCTGTGCCTCAGGAGGAAGGCATGGCTCCGGACGCCCTGGGGCTGGAAGGTAGACGGTTTCTTCCACTTTCTGTCCTTACTAGGAGATGAGGGCTACCTAGACCCCTTGATTCAGACCTCGACCTTGCCAAGGGAACGGTGGCTTTCCAGGCCTTACTCCAGTAGTACCCCGTGCCTTGCTTCCGGCCTCCTTGCACCTTCCCGCCCCTCTCCTCTGTCTAGCGTTGGAGCACCTGCTTGAAGGGGAGTTCTTTGTAAAGTCGCGCCGACAGTCTCCCGCCTTCATCTAGGCGTTGAGGAGGCGGGGCCCAGGAGCTGAGTGTAAGTGCTTTCTCCACTCGTAGCCCTTCCTGGGAGGTAAGCGCTTTGAGTTGGACTTCAGTTTGCAGGCTTTTTCTTCTGGTTAGGGGACGATTTTAAATGTCACTAGCTTTCTTGTCGAAGATGGATATATAGCATCTTGACGACATCTTATTTGGGACCTATTTATATACATGTGAATATTGGCTTTTAAATACTTGACATTGGTTGTTGTTCTTTTCATTTATATGTAGATTTGTATATATACCCAGATGGTTTTCATCCACCTTGAGTAGGTATCCAAAGAAGCCTATGACTTCCTACGTTCGATTTTCTAAAGAACAGCTAGCCATATTTAAAGCCCAGAGCCCAGGTAAGGAGTTTGGGAGCTTGTACTCTTCTCTGATATAACAAAGAGCTCACTAAGCTGTTAAATTGCAAACTTGATTTGCGCTACTAAACCATCCAGTGACTGCAGGAACATAACTGTTCTATTTTATGGTCTGTGAAATATCAGGTATAATATTTTTTCACCAAATATAAATGTTTTAAATATAATTGAGGACTAATGAAAGGTATTTTTAAAATAGCATGTAGAATGGAAAGCAACTAGGGAAGAGGATATGAAAAAGCTTCATTTTGGACCTAGTTGCCATTGGCTTAAAGGACCATTGATGAATCATTTTACATCTTGCTTAGCTCCTTCTGCATCAGGGAGTTGTTAACAGAAGCCGCAATGAAATAACTTCTGTGGAAGTGTTCTGTAAACTGTAAAGGTCTATACAAAGTACTGCTAATTTCAAGAACTTTTGCACTGAAAGATTTCCAGGTAGGATGACTCTCTAGAAAGGCTATAGGGCCTACATTTGAGGTTGTAGTGTATAGATAATAACAAATTAATAATAGCTAACCTTTGCTTATGAATTCTAAAGTCCTTTCACAAGCAATACATCACAGGGCACTTCTGAAAACCAATGAGCTATAATAAAAATTCTCACACAAAGAATTGGTTTATTGGGGGGGGGGGTGGAATCAAATGAGTACACAGTGAGAAGGCAGCTGTCTACAAGCCAGGAAGAGCGGTCTCACCAGAAACCAACCCTAAAGGCACTTTGATCTTGAACTTCTCACATCCAGAACTGTGAGAAAATAAATGTATGTGGTTTAAACAAACAAAAAAAAAAGGAGAATTGATTTATGAGACATGCTTAAGTGCTCACATCTTTTAAAATGTAGGAGTTGAAACTGATAAGTGGTTTGTTACAGCATTTACAACCCTGTCATTTTAGTTAAGATGAGGAAGGAAGTGGGGAAAATAATGAATTGATTTTTAAAAAAGTTTGTTTGTTTGCAAATGATATTTCTGTAATTCAAATTCAAGATGGTGATATATGAATCAAGACTAGATTTTGTTCTTTATTCAGATATTATGAACTTAATTCCTAAAAGACTTGAAAAAAACCAACGTTTGATTGAAATATGAAGTATAGAACTTGAAGAAATTGATTACGCAACTGCTTAAACTAGTAATAAATTTCTGAGGACCGTTTTGGTGATATGTGATATACTCCTTGATTATTAGATACAGACTTGAACAATTTGGATAAAGTACTAAATTTATTTAAATTACTTGGTTAAAGAAAAGCTAAATCATTGTATTAAGTTGTGTGTGGTATAAAGGTGCCTAATAAAACTTACTTTTAGAGCTAATGAATTATGATTTCCTGGAAGTCTTTAGAGATTAATCCTGATACATATATTGTGTCTTCTTTTCTCATTCCAATCCACAGATGCAAGAAATTCAGAACTAATTAAAAAAATCGCGGAGCTATGGAGGGGACTTCCTGATTCAGAGAAAAAAGTAAGCGTATAGGTTTTCAGCATTGCTGACCAGTTATTCTGCAGTTAGAAACAATTGTCATGCCCTTTAAGGGACCAGATGACCCAGAGTTTTGTTTTGTTTTGTTTTAATATCCGTTATATACAAAGGAACTTCATATGTTCTGATCTACATAAATAATGAAAATATGGATGCATGGGGATGGTGATAAAGGGTTGTTAGCAATTTGAAATTGAAGGCTAATTGCTAGACTCTCACCTTGGTTAGCATGTATATGAAAATATGATATTGGTTCATAAGAATGTGGTCTCAGAGCACATTTTCTACTTGATGGCTCAGTCTGTCTTTATCTGAAGTCATGCAGTTGTCTTTCCGTGGCAGATATGCTATGTTTAATTAGCCAGCAACAGTTTATTGACTTCTTATTGGTTTTTTATTTATAGATATATGAAGATGCTTATAAGGCAGACTGGCAGGCATACAAAGAAGAGCTAAACAGAATTCAAGAACAGCTAACTCCAAGTCAGAGGGTATCTTTGGAAAGAGAAATGCTGCAAAAACGTTTAAAAAAGAAAGCAATAATAAAAAAGAGAGTGAGTGTCACTGAAATCTTCTTTTCTTTTGAAAAAGAACTGAAATTTCCATAAATACATGAATATAGGTAGTTTTCTCTTATTTTGATGGTATGTGTGGCTGTGTGGTAGAATATCATCAGGTGTACTCTAGTTAGGAAAAATGGGATAGCTCTCTTCTGCCACTAGGACCATTTGTTATTGAGTATATCTCGGAAACCCTTGTTGTTACTTTGGAATGTATCTGAATTTAAGATATATAGTTAGGACTGGCATGAAAGCGGTAGGAACAGCCAAATCAAGATAATAAGAATCATTGCTTCTGAGTCTTGTCTAGAATAGCCTACTGATTCGAATTGTTCTGTAGATGATGATGAATTTGATTCTGAATATTGCTGAATAGACTGAATTTATTAGCATCAGGGGAAGTGCCTGTTGTATCCAATCAAACCTAGTGCTTTTAAAATGAAATCCTGTTTTTCCGCATTAAAAACCCCCCATGGTTCAAAAATTGTAGTTCCTAGCTTAAGTATTTTTTATATGTATGTAATATAGATATATATATACATACACATATATATGTATGTATATATTTATTTATTGTTGAAAGTATTACAGATGTCCGTTTTTTTTCCTCCCATTGACCGCCCCCCCCAACACCCCCCCCACCACCACCATCACCTTGACCGCATTATTGTCTGTGTTCATTGGTTATGCCTATATACATACAAGTTTTTGGTTTATTTCCCTTCCCCCTCCCTCTGAGGTTTGTCAGTTTGTTCCCTACTTCCATTCCTCTGGATCTAGCTTAAGTATTTATCCACATAAATTCCATTGCTTGAAAGTTCGACTATGTTTTTGTGTAAAACCAGTATTAGGTGTGAAATGTGGTCAGCTTGCTGGTCCAGTATGTATAGTATAGAAAATGGTCATTAGAGTTAAAACTACTACTACTTCTCTGAAAAAGTAGATTATAGCTTTTAATGTGAGATACCAAGGTATGTATCCCTGACCCTAGTGTTTTAAGTCCTCCTAAAGACTTGGCCAATTTCAAGTCAATACTCTAAAATTGCTGATCCGATTAGTGAAAGCGAGAAAAGATACCAAGAGTGAGAAATACAGTGTCTGCATAGGGATGGTATTCAGAAGAGTGAGTACTAAAGTTTACTCTCCCTTTCCCCTTACTGCATGCAACCAGTGCTAAGAGAAGACCAGAAATGAGGATTGGGCAGACAGAAGGGGTTTCTCTTTCAAATATTTCTTGTACTCCCATTATACTTTCGTTACACCTACTGTAGTCCCATAGTCCTTGAGTGTTCTGTGCGTTTTTTAGTCTTTGTTTTCAGGTTTTCAAGGATTCTATTAATATGTCCTTTAGCTTAGATTCTTTCATCAGCCAGGTCCAGTCTACCAACTAATAAGCACCTCAAAGGCATTCTTTATTTCAGCTAGCATTCTTTTTGTTGTTGTTCTTTCTTAGGATTTCCATCTCTCTGCTTACATTACCCATCTGTTCTTGCCTGCTGTCTAGAGCCCTTAGTGTATTAATCATAGTTGTTTATTTCTGATCATTCCAACATCCCTGCTATGTTTGCTTTGTCTCTTCAAACGATGTTTTTCACATCTTGTATGCCTTGAAATTTTTTTCTACATAGCGTGATATGATGTACTGGGTAGAAGGAATTGCTGTTAAATAGGCTTTAATATGGTGATGAGGTATGGGGGCAAGGAAGATGTTCTCTAGTGCTGTGATTAGGTCCTGGCCTTTCAGTGATCCTATGTCTCTGGACTATGAACTGCATGAGTGTTTTTTAACTTTCTGTCTCCCCCTTAAGTCGGACAGGATGGCTAGAGTGGGCTGAGGTTGGGTATTTCCTTTTCTTCAGGTTTAGGCTTTTTTTTTTTTTTTTTTAAATCCTCACCCGAGGACATTTTTCCATTTTTTGTTCAGATAGAATGGGAGGGAGGGGCGGGGGGAGAGAGAGAGAGAGAGAGAGAGAGAGAGAGAGAGAGAGAGAGAAACAGAAACGTGAAAGGGACAACATTGAGTGGCTGCCACCCACACGACCCAACCATGGCCGGGGACAAACTGCAACCGAGGTACGTGCCCTTAGCGGGAATCGAACCCTGGTCTCTCTATACTGCAGGCCAACGCTCTAGCCGCTGAGCCAAACTGGCCAGGGCAAGGTCAGTTAGGCTTTGATAATACCCCAGCAGGTTAGCTCTGATTAACTGGTTACCAGGCATTGTTAAGAATAAGGTTCTCAGACATTTCAAAATGGTTCCTTTTCCCCTCCCTGTGCTGGAAGTGTGAGGTGAGGGGACAGGGAAGGGCATGGCTTTGTCTGGATATTTATTATGGGAATCTGGTCAAGCTCTTGGAGTTGTAAATCTCACATCATTGTGAGGGCCCTCCTATGACTGGGTCCTCTGGAGTTCTTAAACTCAGAGTTGTCCACCCAGGACCTCCAGCAATTTCTTAATTACAGTTCAGGTTTCCCTACCCAGCACTGGTTCATGCCGTCATTTCCTTCTGCGTCTCTGCTCTTCTGCTCTGGTAAGCCTCAGCTCTATTCACAAGTTTTCACTGTGTTATTCTCTCATGGGTCCAAGCAGAGTTGTGGATTTTTCAGTCTGTTCAGTTTTATACTTGTTAGGAAGGAGTGGTAACTTCCAAGCTCTATACATGTTGAACCTGAAGCCCGAGGGTTTTTTCCCCCTCAGACTTCATTCAGCTCCCTGTTGGAATTTTTTTTCCCTTCCCATTAAAGATCCCTAGTACCAAATAGTTAGAGTCCCAGTACCAAATAGAGATCAGGGGAGAAATGTGGGGTCTAGGAAGTTGCAAGTGAATCACCTAGGAGAGAAATCCCTAGTAGTAATTATAGAAATAAAAGGGGCAATAGTTAAGTTGTGAAGTGCCTGGAGTCTACAGTAGTTTCATGACTAAGAGGTTCAGGAAGAAGGAAGTGATTTCTAGCTGTAAGTCAGGAGTTCTCTGTGTTATTGATTGTAACCAAATTTTCATTAAAAGCCATGACATTTTATAAATTACAAGTACTACTCACTATCCATATTCAGACACTAGGTAGGGTAATGTAATATGTTTCATTCTTTGAACAGAGAAGCTAAATGGATTTAGATAGCAAGGGATACTTGTATTCTTTTTCCTCTTTTCTTCCCCTACTCAGATACTGAGTAAAAATAATTTAACACATCTATTGACATTTAAAGGTTGAGAGAGATGCAGGGAAGGAAATAAAATGAGAGCTTATTAAACAGATACTCTAGTGTTCTTGAATTGTGGTGGCAGCATGCAGTGGTTTGGCCAAGGAAATGGTAGTGTCCTGTAAGACCGAAACTGAGATTGTTTTTGTCTTTTAAAAAAGATTTGTACATGTGTGCTTAGTTTTTTACGTACTATCGATAATATTACACCAAACTCTTTTAAAAAAAAATAATATTTTTTCTTTATTGATTTTAGAGGGAGAGAGAAAGAGAGAAGCATCGATGAGGGAGAACATTGATTGGCCACCTCCTGCATGCCCACCACTGGGGATTTTGCCTACAACCTGGGAATGTGCCCTCACCGGGAATTGAACCGGCAACCTCTCGGTGCATGGGTCGATACTCAACCACTGAGCCACACTGGCCAGGCTTACTCCAAACTTTTAAATATTCACCAGTTTTCCATTCATGGAGACCATGAAAATAATATATAGAGGAAATGTATGGAAAATAACTGATAAAATCTATTATAATTTTCAAAACTTAGTGCTATGAAAATTCTGACTCCAGGAGGGAATAATCACATACTTTATATAAGAATCATAATATTCACTTTAAGGAGCATTCTGCATAATGCATAGTAGTGAATACAGTTTCTGTAAGTAAAATTAAGTTTCATAGAGGTTAAAACTATATCTAACTCTTCCATTTTTATTACTCAGGAGTTAACACTGCTTGGAAAACCAAAAAGACCTCGCTCAGCTTATAACATTTTTATGTCTGAATGCTTCCAAGAAGCTAAGGATGGTACATCACAGGTAAAATAGAACTGCATTTGTTTTTTAAATTTTTATTTATTTTAATTTTTTAAATATATAGACAAAATTATAGGGGTGCCATATGTCAGCAGGTGGTAAAGAAAAGTAAATTGCTATAAATAAGAATTGTATATAAATAAGGTTCTCTTATATCTCTTATAGAAATATCCTTTTTTTTTTGCCATGTACAATTGAGTATACAGTTGCCAATATGTATATTGGCAAATTTTACAAGTTTACAGGGTGTTCAAGTTCTGGAGACTTTTCTTATCTAGCAGTTCTTAACTGTTTTACAGTTATTAAAAAAGAATAACAAAACTAGAGCTATAAAATTTTGTACTGGGATTTGAGTATAACCTGTTAGTTCATGCTATATCCTTTAATAAAATGTTGGTTATGCCCATGGGAATGTTTTATACACATGAATGTTGTCATATGGATGTGTCAAAGACAGAAAAACTTCTTATTCCTATTGTGGCTTAGACTTCCCTTTATTTCCTTCTTAGAAGCTCCAAATCAGCAATCGTATTTTTCCTTTTATAATATGACATGTTAAGAAAAGTGTATGATCAGATCCCTAACTCTTGTCAATCTGAGATGAAGGTTTTTGCCACTCTGCCTCTGGGTTATTTGGATCTGTAGTTCCTTTCACAAATCCTTTAACATATGAACAATATATTAACATATTAACATATAAACAATATATATATGTGACATCTTCCCTGGCTAAATACTTTCACTAATTTATTCCCTTTGAGGTTTTAAATTCAGCTTCTGTGGCCCTACTTTACTAATAGCAAGCCTGTTTACTTTTTTAGTTGGAATTTTGCTCAATCGTTAATTTACCTTGGATTTAGTTTTCTTATCAGTATGAGAAGGTTAGATGCTAGAGAATCATTCTTAATCAGTGGTTTCCAACTCTGACTACACCTTGGAATCACCTAGGAAGCTTAATAGCTGGGTCCTATCCCTGGAAATGAAAATTAAGTCAACTATGTCATTCTATTAATTTAAAAAAAAAACAATAGCCCAGCCAGTGTGGCTCAGTGGATTGAATGTCAGCCCTTGGACCGAGATGCCCTGGTTTGATTCCCAGTCGGCACATGCCCAGGTTGTGGGCCAAATCTCCAGTGGGGGGGGGGGCATGCATTAGGCAGGCAGTCAGTGTTCTCTCATTGATGTTTCTCTCTCTAAAATCGATAAAGAAAAAAAAATTTTACAATGAACATTTACCTGTTTCTCATCCCTGCTCTTCACATTTCCATCCTACCTCCCAATATTTGTGGTTTGATCAGTATTATTTATATTATGATTACGTAAATGAAATCCTATTCATAACTGAGCTGTGCCATTTGCTATGATTATTTTGCATTTCTTGCAAAACTTTCCCTGAACTTGATTATGTTTTGCTTTCTTATTTATTTAGTGTTTATGTTCTATCAATAATTTTACTCCAAACTTTTTTAATATTCACCAGCTTTCAGTACATTCAGTCAACTTCATTCTTGAGTCTCTGATTTGTTGCAGTTTGGTTGTTGACTTCTATGCCTAGTACAAAGCTGGGATCTTCTTTCATCATCATCCTCTTGGTGCTTTTGCTTCTTCTGTCATTGTCTTTCCTGGTTTACTGATTCTATTGTAGAATCTTTCCCAGTAAGGATACACAAGAGATTAGTTTTTTGAGTTCTTGCATGTCTGAAAATGTCTCTATTTTTACATTTGATAGTTTGGGCATAGAATTTTGTTTCATGTTCTTTGCAAATTTAAAAAATAATACTTTAGTAACTTTCTTTAGTAACTTATATTACTTTTGAGAAGTAGAAAGTCATTTTGATTATTGGTGTTTTGAATGTGATCTTTTGTTGTTTGTTTTTCTCCCCCCCCCTTTTTTTTCCTCTGTTCTGACACTAGAACTTTTATTATTTGTTTGTGCATCTTCTGAATTGATACTCTGATTTTCTTATCTTTTCTGTGTTGTTATCTCTTTGCTTTTTTTTTTTGCTTTTGTTTCTGGGATACAGGATACATTTTCACTTAATCTTCCTGTTTTCAGTATGGTATCGTTGCCCCTTACTGTATCTGGTATCCACTGAATAACTCATATGTTACCATTTTGAGAGGATAAATGTCCTAGTATCTGCTCATGGTAGGGATTTAACCTCTTTTTAAACACTTTCAATCAGTCCTCCTGACCTTTCCTCTATTTTATACCTATCTAGTGCTGCCAGTTTCTGAGCTACTTCAGAATTCCACATTGTAAAACACTTTGCTTTTGACTTTATCCACTGCCAGTTTGGGAATAGTTTTCGTGGGTTAGGTAAGCCAGAAGCCATGGCTGCATCTGCTTTGCACCTTCCAAAACTTTGTGTGGGTAGTGCTCTCGCCAGTTGTCTTTGTCCATGTGAGTTTATGCCTTAAAAACATTTTTTTTTTTTTTTTAAATAAGCAACAGAGCCCTGGCCAGTTTGGCTCAGCGGTTGGAGCATCAGCCTGCGGACCAGAGAGTGCCGGGTTCAGTTTCTGCTAGGCCTTAGCGGCTAGGGGCACGTACCAAAAAATAAAAAATAAGCAACAGAAATTTATTGCTCACAGTTTTGGAGGCTGTGAAATCCAAGATCAGGGTGCCATCATGGATGCCTACTAGTGAGGGCCCTCTTCCTGGTTCATGGCTGGTACCTTCTCATTGTGTCTTCACGTGGTAGAAGGGCTCATTTAATGGGGTTTTAGAAGGGAATAAAACATCTTTTCATCTCTTTAATTTTTTTATTTTTTCAAGTCATCACTTTTTTTTTGTTTCTTTAAATTTTTTAATGAATTATGTAGGTGAAAGGTCAGATTACTTATTATTTATGCATACAACTTCATAAATTATTATTTAATTCAGTGAATATGAAACTTTGTGGATTAAACTATAGATAAGAAAAAGATTAGTTATATATCGAAAGCATTAAAGTAATTCCTTCCAAAGCTAAGAGTTAGAGCAGTTAGTTAGTGAAAAACTCTCCCTGAATATATTAGAAGTGTTTATGAAAGTCAGTTTAAAATGTTCAAAACATAATGGTTATATAATCTCAGGTACTATCTGGTACCTCTATTTTTGTTGCTAGGAAAATAAAATGCAGTCAAAGTTCTGCTCAGAACAGTCAAGTTATTCTCATTCAACTTCTCCTTAAAATCATTGGTGATCTCTTCCTAGCTTTAAACAGATACTTTTCAGACCAAGGCCCCCTCTCCCTCATAGTCCCCTTCTTCTGCCCCTCATTTTCCACCCACCCATTCTCCCCTTTATTCTCTGCTCTGTGGGAGCAACAGCATAGGCAGTGTGAGGTGCCCTGACTCTCCTCTCTGCCTCTATTCCAGCCGTGGGGTCCCTGTGTCCCTTTAATTTTATAGACAAAGAACCAAGACTAAGGGAGGTAATATGACTTTTTCCAAGTCACATAATTAAGTTCAGCTAAGTAGAATTGAAGACTGGTTGTGTATTATTCCTGTGATTCCTAAAGACTCCGGCACAGATTGTATAATAAAATATGAAGCTACAGGGAAAAAATTAAAACACTTATTCTTTGAAGTTAGATTACAACAGAATATACTTGCATATTAGTATTTCTAAATCAAAAAAGATAAATATCTGCATAATAAAGGAAACCAACAAAATGAAAAGCAACCTACCGAACAGGAGTAAATATTTGCATGTTATATATCTGATAAGGGGTTAATACCCAACATATAAAGAACTCAAAACAACACAATAGCAAAAAAAAAAAAAAAAATCCTGATAAAAGATGAGGCAGGATCTGAATAGACATTTTTCCAAAAGAGACCTAATGATGGCTAACAGGTATATGAAAAAGCTGCTCAACATCACTAATTATCAGGGAAATGTAAATCAAAACCACAGTTTACCTCACCAGCTGCAGTGATCGTTATCAAAGATAAGAAGTAACAAGTGTTGGTGTGGATGTGGAGGAAGGAAATCCTTTGCACAGTTGGTGGGGATGTAAATTGCTGCAATCCACTATGAAAAACACTATGGAGGTTTCTGAAAAGCTTAAAATTAGAACTATCCTATGGTCAGCAATTTTGCTTCTGGGTATTTATCCAAAGAAAAAAGAAAACACTAACTTGAAAAGATATCTGAACCCCCATGATCATTGCAGCATGGTTTACAACAGCCAAGACATGGAAGCCATCTAAATGTCTAATGGATGAATGGATAAAGAAATTATGATATATAATTCAGCCATAAAAAATAAAGAAATCTTGCCATTTGGGACAACATGGATGGATCCTAAAAGCATTAATCTAAGTGAAACAAATCAGAGCAGAGAAAGACAAATACCATATGATCTCACTTGTATGTGGAATCTAAAAAAATAAACAACTGAGCTCATAAATAAAGAAACAGATTGGTGGTTGCCAGGATGGGTGGTGGGCGAAATAGGTGAAGGAAGTCAGAAGGTACAAATTTCCAGTTATAAAATAAGTCTGAGTATGTAAAGTACAATATGGTGACTATAGTTAATAATACTGTATTTTATATTTTAAAGTTGCTCAGAGAGCAAATCTTAAAAGGTCTCATAAAAAAAAAATTCATGGTGACAAATGTTTACTAGATGTATTTTGGTGATCATTTCAGAATATATACAAATATTGAATCATGTTGTACACCTGAAAGTAATACAATGTTATATGTCAATTACATCAATGAAAAAGATAAATATCTTTATTCCAGTCATGCTATATATTTTAACAGTTTAATAGTTTAGAAAGAAAAGATGTTAAGAATTGATGAGGCATTACCTGTGAATTTTAATATCTGAGTTTTTGTTGAAATGAGTAATAAAAAACTGTTTTTCTTTAATCACCGAAGTCCCTGTATCTGGTACTTAAACATATGTTGTTTTACAGTTAAGGCTGAAGACTGTAAATGAAAACTGGAAAAATCTCTCCAGTTCTCAAAAGCAAGTGAGTATGGTTATAGTCTCAAGTACTAGTTAGAATATATGTGAGAGAATGTATTAGGACAAACAAGGCTTGTTTCAAGTGAAAACAATCTTAGATTACTAATAATACAGTTAAAGTATTTTAAAATAATTTTATATTCTTAGAATCAATTTGGCTTTTTTCTTTTGTTAGTTTTTAATTGCAAATAAAATTGGTATTTAAAACAATGTCACACCGAATATAGTGTCCAGTGTATCCAATGACAGTCACACTGTACCTCTGCTCCTTCCCTGCATCCCATGCCCCGAAATTTTAACTTTGTTAATACAACATCTTTATCTCACCTTTTTCTCATTTAATTTTTATCTCATAAAAACATTCCTTCTCCTGTCCCCCTTTACATATGTAGAAGAATAAGGTAATGTTTGTAAGTATATATGGAAGTATTTCAGAAATTAATGGCAAAGATTCTTCTAAAGAAATCATTTTAACAATTACACTTTTTCTCAGGTATATATTAAACTTGCTGAAGAAGATAAAGTTCGTTATTATAAAGAAATCAAATCTTGGGAAGATCAAATGCTTGAAGTTGGACGTGAAGATCTTCTTCGTCGCAAAGCAAAGTCCCAACCCAAAAGCTTTGAGGAATGTTAAATAGAAGATTACGTTATGTTCATAATGAATAGACACAAGAAACCAATTAGGTCTTGATATCTGAAACTGTTATAAAACTAGAAGGATAAAGGTGGTCAACATTTTCTACTTAATTCCTTTTTCTTTAGACCATGGACTTCTGCCAGTTCAAAACATTTTGTATTGGTATCTTGCTTTGGAAAACTCAAACATACAAAAGTTCATGCAAAATTTATTTTGTGTTTAGAAACTACTGAGGAGCAAAATAATCCATGAAATATATCAGTAATCATTTTACCTTTGATAAAGGTGAATCAGACTGTGAAGGCTTTTTTATAATACTTGATGACTGTGGAAAGAGTATTCTTGTTTCCTTATATTATGGAGGCAGGGGTTTCCTATTCAGAAGTGTCCCAAGTGGTAGAGCCACAGTGTTCTATGATTAATAGTGCATTTTAAAAAGAGCACCCAGAACTCATTTAGGTCAGTTCCAGTTCCTAGGTATAATGTGTGTTCAGAGCTGATGGCTATACAGGCAAGGGCTTGCTGGTTTCAGGTGCAGCCTTTTGTACAAGAGATGGTCAGATCTGTAAACCTTTTTCTCATTTTTTTTCTTTTCCTAAAGTAAAAACTGAGAAACTATGTACCAAATCTATGCATATTGTTTTATATTGCATAGAATACAATTTTTGTTTCCTAATTATGTTTGAGGTGAAACATTTATTTTACAGCTTCTTTTTTTAGTAGGGATGTGTATTCTGAATTATTTTTTCTTCTCATGAGAGTATATTTATCCAGAAAGTAGAGAATTTGTCTGGTAAGTTTTAAAATGAGAGATCCAGAAACAAATTTCTAAAATCTCTAGACTTGGCACTTGTAATTTTAGAACATTTTATGTAACATGAAGGACTACATAATGGACAGCCAACTCTGGCCTGTGGACCACATTCAGCCCACTGCCTGCTTTTCATGGCCTGTGAGCTAAGAATTGTGTTTGCAATTTTAAATAGTTTTTTAAAAAAGAATATTTCAAGACACACGAAAATTAATAGAAAGGTCAATGTTCATAAATAAACTCTTATTAGAACACAGCCATTCTCCTTTATTAATTTATTATTTATGGCTGCATTTGTGCAGTCGAGTAGTTGCTCCAGAGACTAGTCTGCAAAGCCTAAAATATTTACTGTCTGACCCTTTACAGAAAACACTTGCCAACCCATGGTCTACAGTATAGTGTAGTATGACAAGCATCATGTGTCTGGGATAGGTTTTTTAACCGACTGAGAGGTTCTTGTTTTAGAGTCTTTGTCACCATTGTCTTAGGAGAGAGGTCAAATCACAAAAGAAGCTAAACAGACTTGTCCCACAGTGTTAGCAAGAAAAATAATCTTGTTTCAAATTACCTTGTAGTATAATAAAAGAGTTCCATCTAGCATGGAATCAGATTTTCCAGTTATTTCCTGTGGTTTGGAAAAATGAATCTTAAGAGTTTTCCAGTTAGTACATATCACAGAAACCTTATCATCTTTCAGCATTTATCCTCAGGAGAGGCAAGCAGAAGTTTTCAAAATTCACATTACCTATTTGAGCAGAATAATTCATCTTTCATCGTCAGTTGATAGGAATAGGATAACTCAGAATTTTCATGTACCTTATATTATGCAAACTACTTAGGAATTCTCGATTCTAGATCTCCAGAAAAATGTTGAGTATTTTTATTGTTTATGGATAGAAAATAAGTAATAAGAATCATGACTTGTTCTATACTGAACTTGACAAAGTTATGTACTGAAGAGAAACATATATCTTAAGAGGAAGCTTAAGATTTAAATATATAAACTTGGGTGTTTTCAAACAATTTTCCCCTGTGGTTATGAATATGGGACAAAGTCGGCTATGAGTTAATTAGATACCGTGGGGAAGAAGAGGTTGGCTAGTGTCTAGCATAGTCTTTCTCAATTGGGTTTCCAAGAGAGATTAGCCCTAATTCCCTGTGGCATTTAGAGTAGTACTGATTATGTACCATACTTAGGAGAATGGATAAAATAATTCAAGTTCTTTGCTGTGTTCTAGGCTTCAGATGAGCCCAGGGAGCACACAGGAGTCAGTGTTTGTCATGTAGAGTAAGTGAGGTTGAGAAACGAGTTATGTAAACATCTGTAAGACAAATATAGTATAAAACACATCTTTGTAATTTATCTTTTTCTGAACTTTTTTAGCATTCAGCAACATAAACTGTTTTATACAGAACACATTCAAATCGTTTCTTCCCAGTTATATTCGGAAGTTCAGTGTCTAGTAAGTTCTCAAGTATTTACAACTCAATATAAGGAAAATGTGAAACAGTGAAAAGAGCTAGAGCAAAACCCTTTTATGATAATATCAAATTTTATTTGGTTTCCTTTGTTTCTAAAAGAATGTCATTGTTGATGCTTTAAATATTAAGATAATCTGAGTCCACGCCTTTCTTAGTAAACTTTAGTACACGTTGAAGACTGGTATGCATATACCAAATGCCTTCCAGTTTAACAGTATGCCCAAGTTTTTTGTTACAAAGAACAAGAAATTATGTCAGTAACCAGTGACCACTCATATAAAGCCTTACTTTTTGGACTTACATTGACCTAACAAAGTAATTTCTGCAGGAGCTCAAGGAGAGTGCTAGGGGGAAAGATGCTGGAGAAATGAAACAAAGTGGTGTTAATGCTGTTCGAAGTCACGAAGAGGTTTGCTTTTGTTCATTGGAGTACCAGTATTAGATTTGAAATAGTTCAATGACAGGACAGGGTTGTGTGGTAATTTTTACTTTCTGATGTTTGTTTAAAGGATATTGTGTGAAGATTGAGTCTACTGTAATCGTGTAATTTTGCTATGCTTTTGGCTAAACCATTTCATCAAAATGCCATTTTAAAAAAACAAGGCATATTTTTTATAGTTGCTATGTGTGTATTAAAATTTCTGAATTAAAATACAAGTTGATTTAAAGTAATTAGCAAATTGTATTTTTTTCTGACATTTACTGTACTTAAAATTAATCACCACCAGGAAGTTTTTATCTAGTTGAGTGATGATAGTACCCATTGATTTTCTTAATTTTATCAATGTTAACTGAAAGAATATTCGCTCCCTTCCGCCCTCTCTCACAGCCACGCTCCCGCCTTCCCTTCATAGCACCAGGCTCTTACAGACGAACTTGACAATGTTATGAGCACAGACTATTGAATAAAGAAAGCATTATTCTTTTTAAAATTGGACTTTTGGAAAGGAAAGACTAAGAAAATGAACATATTTATTATTACTTTGAATTTGTAAAACTTTCTAAGTGGAGCCCTGGCCGGTTTGGCTTAGCGGTTAGAGCGTCGGCCTGCGGTCCTGAGAGACCCGGGTTCGGTTCCTGCTAAGGGCATGTACCCCGGTTGCAGTTTGTCCCTGGCCCTGGTCGGTTGTGCGGGTGGCAGCCACTCGATGTGTCCCTTTCACGTCGATGTTTCTCTCTCTCTCTGTTCCTCTCTCTCCCCCCAACTCTACCTGAACAAAAAATGGAAAAACGTCCTCCAGTGAGGATAAAAAAAAAAAACAAAAAAAACTTTCTAAGTGGAAAATAAAACTACAAAGCTAGTATCTTCAGTTTCTCACATTGTTCACAATAAAGTACATTTGGTAATCAATTAAATCATTGATTCTATTTAATGGAAAATACGTAAAACAAAAAACCATTTTCTAGTGCAGTCGACCCTCCATATCTGTGGGGGCTTGGTTCCAGGACCTTCCTTCTCACAATATCAAAACCTGTGGTTGCTCAAGTCCCTTTTAGAAAATAGTTATACTGAATAGTTGTTATACTGTATTGTTTTGGGAATAAAGACAGAAAATCTAGATATTCAGTATAGACAAAACCAGCTAGGCCTAACTAGTACAATATCAACAATAACCAAATATTTTTAATGCAGTTAGCCCATGGATACAGAAACCACAGATAATGGAGGACCTTAAAATTTGAATTTGTAAAACTTTCTAAGTGGAGCCCTGGCCGGTTTGGCTCAGCGGTTAGAGCGTCGGCCTGCGGTCCTGAGAGACCCGGGTTCGGTTGCCGCTAAGGGCATGTACCCCGGTTGCAATTTGTCCCCGGCCCTGGTCGGTTGTGTCGGTTGTACATTTAAAAATACTAACATTTTACTGACTAAGGAGCCAAATGTAACTTACTGAAAAAATTTTTTTTCCCATTTATCTTCAGACAGAGTGGGAAGGAGGGAGAGAGAAACGTCAACGTGATAGGGACACATAGACTGCTTGCCTCCTACATGACCCCGACCAGGGTCGGGGATGAACCACAATTGAGGTACATGCCCTTGACTGGAAACCAACCCACGACTCCTTGGTCTGTGGACCAACGCTCTGCTGCTGAGCCAAACCGATCAGGGCAATTCACTCAAATTTTAAAGAAGCTGAGGCTGGGTCGAGGGTGATTTTGATCCTAAACTAACTTAATCCAGAATGGCTACTGTGATCTTTGTGGATAAGGAAAATGGAGAACCAGGACCCGGGCCACTCCTAAAGACTGGCTGGAGCTGGGGTCCTGGCCTTCAGTCAAAGCTTGAGATATCAGAGCTTAGGTTTCAACAGCACATGTTGGTAAAATGTCTGATGCTTCTCTGGCCTTACATAAGGCTTCCAGAAAGGCTTTGGGAACTGTCAGAGTGACAGAAAAGTCAGTAAAGACTGATGGACCAGTCAAACAGAAACAGACAACCTTCTCTGCTAAAAAGGTGACCAAGAAGACTTAAAGCAAAAAGCTCTGTTCCTGATTCGGATGGCACCTCTCCAGAAATAGAAAAATTCTTTCCCTTCAGTCCTCTAGATTTTGAGTTTTGACCTGCCTGAAGAACACCAGATCTCACAGCTCCCCTTGAATGTAGTGCCTCTCACGATCCTCCATGAGGAGAGGAAACTTGAAAAGCTGTTGCACCTCGGCCCCCCTTCACCTCTGAAGATGCCCTCTCCACAGTGGGAGTCTGATCCGTTGCAGTCTCCTCAAGCACTCCGTGGACTCTGGATGTTGACTTGCCACCAGTTTGCTATAACTTAGAAATTTAAATTTCTTAGTGCTTTATAGTTTGTATGTATTAATAGTTTAATGATTTCTGATTTACATATGTGGTGTGCAAGGAAATAATTGAATTTCTTTTTTTGCCTGTATTAATTTAAAATTTATCCAATTTTATTCCTCCTCCCCTACTAATCATGTATAAGATAGGGGAAGAAGGAAGGAAGTACATGATTTTGACTGATTTTTGTATAGGCTGTCAACTACCAGCCTTCGTGTTAAAAACAAAACAAAACTTGATTTGATTATACCCACCTTTAAGGTTGTATATTTACTAGAAGTTTTGTGCATTGAACTTGAGTAGGATTAAGTGATGAGAAGAGGGCTCCAAGTTCTTTTTATTAATCATTTAGAAATTGCTGAAGCATTATGACTGTTCTACTCAATTTTGGGTATGTCCTTGGTCACCCCAGTCAGAACAGATCCTCAGTACTTGTAACTAAAGTGAACAGGAATTTTACTGGTAGGTACTTAGGGATGACCGGAATTTTTCTAAACTGAAATTAATACCCTGACTATAAGACTACTTAGGTGAGGATAGTGGAGATTTGTTAAAAGTGTAGAAATTTTGTCTTAATTTTGAATAACATACGAATTTAAAAAGCTGAGCATCATATTAATTAGACCTAAAAAAAACTCAGGATATTGCATGTGGGAGGCAACTGATCGATGTTTCTTTCTCCCTTTCTCCCTTTCTCTCCAGAATCAATAAAAAAAAACAAAAAAACAAAACACAAAAAAAAACAGGATATTTCCCCAAAGCTATCCCTTCATCCTCAGTTTTTACTTTTGTAAGTCTCCTACTTGTCATTTATAATAAGAACCTGAATGACTTTGAATGAATTGCGAGACATGTCACAACCCATAGTCAATTCTATTATTGAAGTGTTATCTTTGATTCAGTAGGGGGAGTATTCCTCTTTTTTTATGAAAAATGGGAATTGATGATTCAATTTGTTGCTGAGTAATAAGAACAAGAAAATGTACATGAAAAATTATTAGAACTGACTTGTTATTCTCTAGAAAGACCAAGTGATGAGAAAATGTTTGAAAATGGTAAGACTAAGCCCTCTTTTTTTTTTTCTCTTCCAAAATTTAATTAAAATAAATAAATGAAAAACAAATACACAGGTACACAGCAACATTAATAGAGCAGCAATTTCTAGGTGTTTCCGGAAGATAGTAGGTAGGGATCAACTGGTGCTTCTTGGTGCCAATATGAGAAAGCCACATGAAGCGAGTGAAATAGAAAAATGGAAATCTCACCAGTTTTGAGCAGTAGGGACTAGTCAAAGGTTAACTCCTAAGGTGCTTGGAGAGAAATGTGGGTTGTGTGGGGCTGGAGAGGAGACAGTGTGAATAGACAGACTAAAGAGTTTGTTTCTTCCTAGTTATTTTGCTTAAACCAGAGTTTAAATAAGCTATTACATAATGGACTCTGTTCAAACTAGGTGCTGTGGTCTTCAACCCTTGCTCAATAGAATTGACCCTAGAGTTTTTTAACATGCAAATAAATGCCTAGGCCAGAATCTGGAAGGTAGAACTGGGCATTGGAGTTTTTTAAAAGTTCTCTTGGTGAAATAGTGTGCATCTAGGGTTTAAGAACCACCTGGTGTGAGTAGTGTAGCTTTTGTTATGCTATCATGCAACCAAGATTGGTAAGTACCATTTCTAATAACTGAGGCTACTTTTAACACATGAAGTGAGATGAGACTTTCCTCTGAAAGAGATGTCACCTACCCTGGTGCTGAATCCCCAATTTAGACCCATGCCAGTTTAAACCTTGATGATGCTTAAAGCATGGAATCAAGTTGACTGAGGACTGTTTTCCCTTTATTTTATGCATGACCAGACAAATTTGCTTTCTAGTTAAGAACATACGGAACATTCTTTAGGATAGGCCATATGTTAGGTCATAAAACAAGCCTGAAATTGAAAAATTATTAAGATCATACAAAATAATCATAATGAAAAAAATAAGGCCATATGGGAAGTTGACAAATATGTGCAATTTATTTATTTATTTATTTTTATATCCTCACTCAAGGAAATTTTTTTGTTCAGGTAGAGTGGGAGGCAGAGAGAGAGAGAGAGAAACATCGACGTGAAAGGGATACATCAAGTGGCTGCCACCCGCACGACCAACCAGGGTCGGGGACAAACTGCAACTGAGGTACATGCCCTTAGCGGGAACCAAACCCAGGTCTCTCTGGACCGCAGGCCGACGCTCTAACCGCTGAGCCAAACAGGCCAGGGCAAGTATGTGGAATTTAAATATCACATTCCTAAATAACCAATGTGCCAAAGAATAAATCACAAGAAAAGTAGAAAATACATTTAGATGAATGCAAATGAAGACAACATACCAAAACATAATGGAATACAGCTAAAGCAGTGCTTAGAGGAGTATGTATAGCAGCTACTGCCTAATTTATAAAAGATCACAAATCAGCAACGTAAACGTTCACCTTAAGACTGGCAAAAGAAGAGCAAACTAAGCCCCAAACAAGCATATGGAATGAAATAAGAATTAGAGCAAAAATTAATAGAATAGATAATAGAGAAGAATTAGTAAAACCGAAAGTTGGTTGTGGAGATTGATCTAGGGAAAAAGATTTAAATTACTAGAATCTGAAATGAAAGAGGGAACTTGACTATGGATTGTACAGAAATAAAAAAAGATTATAAAAAAATACTATGAACAATTTTATGGCAACAAATTAAATGAAGTGGACAAATTCCTAGAAAGACAAACTACTAAAGTATATGCGCCACATAGCTACATAAAGATATGGGAGGAAGTGGAGCTATTTTCTAAAATTGGGTCAAA